TGAAAATTTTGGTGATTTTTGGAGCCTTATGAGTTTTCATTTTTCTTGTACGTTTTAATGTTCTTTTTTTTTTATTAAAAAAAAAAAAAGAAAAAAAGAAAAAAAGAAAACGAAACTATCATTCTGAAGAATGAAAGAGGATACAAAGGGATTAGCTAAAGGGAAAACATGAATCTTCTTTTATAAATTTGGACGAACTAAAAAGTTTATGCGGTGGCTGTGAGAAGCAAACTGGTCATGAACTTTGGTTTCCATTAATGTATGAAAATATCACAAAAGATGATGTGTCATGAATTTGGTTTGTCCACCTATACGTCAAATCTCATCGAAGATACAGCACTTTTAGAAGAAAAAAGGGCAAAGGGGATGGGCAGTAGTTTCTATCATACTGGTGTTATTATCTCTCTCCTTTCATTGCAGGATTTAACAAATGTACTGTATTCTACCATTTAACCAGGACCTTTGTTGAGTGCAAGGAAGTAAAAGCAGTCATTAATATTGGTTGCTGTTACAACCTACTCTCGGAGTATGGATCTGACAATGAAGGTGTCCAAAATGGATTTCCAATGAGCTTTGGTGTCAAATCTTCAGGCTTGTTTCTGGGAAAAAGTGGCAGAGACCTTGCATGTCAGGTCAGCTTTTGACCTTCTCCACCATCACACTAAAAAATATTTCATTTGTTTGTTTATCTTCTCGAGATAAGTTGCGTTATCGATTGAGTTTTCCTTGAATTACCTGCATGATAAAATTAACATTAGATAGAGTTATAGATTCACATTTACTTGGAAAGGAGACATAAAAGTAGTTTTATGCCCAAAGTATTTTTAGAATTAAACTATATGTAAGGTGTACAGTTGTTTCATGATTGAAACACATTGTCCCCAGCAGATTTTAAGATTCTTGTTGTATTGTTCTAGTTCTTTAAAATGGACTTTAAGTGAAGTAAAATATAGGTAACTACATTTGGCTTTGATGCCAGTTGTTGCCTGAGGAGGGAGAGCTAGGGCTTTTCGTTGTTGTTTAGCTTATACTTTATTACAATAAATACTTTAAACAGATAAAATCTAATCGCAAGTAAAAAATAAGCGCACTTAGAAATCAATAGATCTATAATTTTCAACGCTCGATTAAAATTTATAACTTGTTTCTCTCATCAGAGTGCAGAAAGATGGAGGAATTTGGAAAATGAGGGTGGTGTCCATAATTTTGAGTTGCATGCTTTCCGTGCTGCTTTCCAAATGGTAAAAGTTGTGACCAATTGTTTATTATTTCGTCATGCTTTATCATTTTTAACTTAGTTCAATTATAATTTGCTTTTAGCTTCAAGCATATTTTGAAAAAAATCCTATTGAATCAGTTTGAAATTTGGCCCTGTCTTCTAACCTTATTGATTCTCTCATTCTAAATTCAAATCAATCAAATACTATTTGTTGGAGGTCTTTAAGCCAAGTTACTTCATTAGATAACTGTTGTTTTTGTCGTAAAAACTCTTGTGAGCTTATGGAACTGGAAACTGACCTATATGTTCTAGTTAGAGTGTAGGGTCTTATAACATTAAAGATCCAACTGAAGTTGCTAAATAGATCTGACAATTAAATTTGGCCAACCGTAAGTTACACAAAAGATCTCTGACATAGCATGTAATCTGCAGATCTGTTTGCATGAACTTTATGTTTTTCCTTTTTAAGTGTCTCTTTCTTTCTTTTTTCTTCTGTTAAGGTACTCTATAAATATTATCCAGAAGTTGTAGCAACTTTCCCATCTGTTGGGCGTCAAGGAAAGGCATTGCGTCGTCGAAAGAAAAGGGAGGCTGCATTATCCTCACAGTGTCATGAAGATAAGCTTGAGGCATCACAATCAGGTATGAGATGGTAAAGACTAGAATATTCTAGCTTCCTGTTAATCAATGGCATTCGATCACACACCCTAGTATCCTGTGCTGAAATGGAGGATTTTAAGAGAGGGTTAGTGGGATGTGCAGCATAGCTTCAAGGCATCCGTTTGTTTATCTAGTAGATTGAATAATACGAATGCAATTTTAACTGTTTCCTTAACCAATATTCAAGTAACAATTTTCATCTACTTTGTTACACTCAAAATATGCTGCAGATCTTATTGGGGGGTTGCCAGACAACAGCAATGCCTTTTCTCACACCATTTCTGACTATGGGAGTACGCCATGTGAACAGGCCAAATCTGTTGACAAATATCTTCTTTTTGAAAATTTTTGTCAATCTGGATTAAATCGCCTTGGACTTCAATCTTTGCAGGATATGGATTATTATGGAATCTGGATGGACAATGAGCCTTTTGCTGTATGTATACTTACTAAGTTCCAATACCTGTTATATAGGACTGAGTCATATACCAGTTACAATAATATATAAGCTCTAGTCTGAACCAATTTAGTTGCTCCAAAACTAATGATTGTTGTTAATTTGAATCTCTTTCTTCTTAGATGTTAATTTATTATTTGATTTGCTTCAGAATTATGAATGCTTTATCGAGTGTGGTATCTAATTTATTCCAAGGAATAGGACAGTTGTCTTAGTATTTAAGGGTTAAATCATACAATTAGAAAGTTATAACCCAAGGTACCATTAGATGATGTTAGTGTTATGGGGGATTACGTTCATCTATTGAAGCACATGAGTTTAGTTGGAGAATGTTGCACTAAGGTCTCAAATACCGGTTAGATGATGTGAAGGTGGTTGCTTTGGTGATGGTCATTATGGGTTTGCATCCCGATGCATCCTTGCATCATTCAAATGCTTTGTTTATGTTAAATCACCAAGTTCCTCAAATTACTTGGTTTATCTGATAAGTTCTTTATCGTTTATATTGCAATACATTTTTAGTTCTATTATAGGTTCTTATATATATCCAAATGTAACTAATAAATCGTATGCAGGAACTTATTGGGCCTTACTGGTCTCTTCGAGCTGCTCTGGGCCCAGTTTTGGAAACATGTATTCTGCTTGACAGATTACTATTTCTCCAGGAGCAAGGTGAATCCCTTGACGCCATATTGCTACCTATTTTTCATCCGGATTTATCACCAAGGAATGTGGCTATAATCGCTCGGAAAGTTGGTGCAACATAAGATTCATTAGGAGAAAGGTAATACTAGTGAATATGGTTTTTTCTCAAATTTTGTTACTGAATAATTTTCAATGTGAGAAAACGTTGATCCAAGAGAGTTTTATAGTTGTATTGATGACAGAGAATCAAATATGACGCTAAATTTATTGACCTTAACATTATTCGAATCTATTATCATTTAGGACTTAAGAGTAGAAATGTTTTGTTCTTTGATTTATACACCAATAAGCACGTATATGATACATTAATTTCTAGAAATGTAAGACACGGACACATTGGGATCATTTTTTAGAAATATATGTATATATGCTAACGGATTTGATACTTCAAAATAGATAGCACTCATAAATTTAACATGAAAAAAAAAATTAAACATATTTGTAATAATTAGTAGCGTCGACTTCTCCCCACAATTTCTTTGGTCTTGCAAATGAATTTTTAAGATTGAATTAAATTTTAGAGTTGATCATAGTAAGATAAGTAATGGGTTGGGCATCGGGCATGTAGTGACGATAGGGTTAAATATATATACTTTTTTCTTTTTAAATTTAGAATCAATTTTCTAGGTTTAAGTGTCCCTACAAGTCTTGATGTGACCGAAATTGAAAGAAAAAATAAAATAGGACACCTTTTGGTATTTATATAGTTCTTAATTAATTTTTAGAATATTTAAAACTTGATTTACAATATAGTTCCTTTAGAATTGTTTGATTTTGTTTGCCAAGTTGACATCTTTTATTCGCATATCTAAACTGTGGGGCTTAAGCAGGTCTGATTTTTGAATTGGTCATAGTGCTTATATGTTTAGATCTTCATATTTCTATTATTAAAAAAAATTGTAGTCAAAGGCTTTTACAAAGTTAGTTGGATATGGGTTGAAGAGTACCAATAAAATTAACCAGTCACATCTGTCCAAAGGTTGAGTTATAGATTTGGGAACTATTGTCTGGTCCAGTTAAGTGTAACTTATCCATTTCTTTTTCTTTGGAATAATGAATTGGCTACTGGGTCATATTTTGCATTATCCTTCTTCAGTCAATGCTTCATATCTTCTCAGTTGCCTGATAAAGGATTAATCTGATTAATGACGATGATACTAATTGAAATTTAAGTATAGGAACTAATACTAAACAATGTGATAATCCATTGTATTGGTGTAACAGGGTTTAATGGTTCTGGATTAATGCAAAATTCAAGTGCTGAGGATGAATTATTCAAATTCTGCAGAACTTATGGGTTCCCTTTTCCCACTGTTTGTATTTCATTTCAGATTATTCCTTTAACTTTCCAATATTGTCATTTCTGATATCTGTCTCTTATAATGGCTATTTACAGCCTCACAGGCATAATTTATATTGCCCAATGGTATTATTAAAATTCATTGTTAGCAAGGCATATGGCCTCTTTATTTTTTTCTTGAGGGGGGGGGGCGTGGATGGAGCGGGGTTAGGTGTCAAGGTTAGGATATCATTCTTACTTATCTTCTTTCTTTTTTTGGTTTGTTTCATTAAGACTATGAGAGATTGGATAAGAAGATCAATCAGAAAGAAGGCTTTTTATATTTTCTAAAAGGAAAGTCAATAGTTTCCCAGTGGTAAGATCGTAATTTCACTCGATGCTTTGGATAATTCTGAAGACAGGAAGGAATATGCAATTGAATACGTTCGGATCTTAGTAGTTGTTTTAGGCCTAATAGTCTTGTCCAGGACCCTGAAAATCCTCTATTTTAGTAACTAGTATGACCTAATCTTCATAGGTTGGCCTAATGATCAATCAAAACAAGGAAGATAATTGTAACGGCTCAATCCCATTGCCAGCAAATATTGTCTTTTTTGGATTTTTTCTTTCAGGCTTTCTCTCAAGGTTTTTAAAACGCGTCTACTAGGGAAAGATTTCACACCCTTATAAAGCTTGTTTCATTCTCCTACTCAACCGATGTGGGATCTCACAATAATAAAGGAAATTGTTCGATGAAAATAGTTGAAGGTATGTACAGGCTAGTTCATACTCTTATGGACATCCAAAAGATAAAATGTAATTAATATTGCCCTGAAGAATTTTTTGTGGTCAGTATGCCAAACAGGAACGAATGACGATAAGGAGCACAGAAACGCAAACGTCGGCATGAAGTTGACACCATACAAATCGATCGAACTGCAATTCAGGTACGGCTTCTTTAGTTAAACAGAAGGCAGCTCCTCATGGGTGGGGGGGATACATATCTCTATTTTGAATGCTAATTTGTCACTGCGCAACGCTAGATTCTTCTTGTTCTTTCGATCAAAGACGTGGTTGGTGGACATTTCAGAAACTGCTGCTCTTCGTCTTTTTATGCATCAAAGAAAAGGTTGCTATCAGTAAAAAGGTACGTCATCTCTGAGTAGAACATAAATATGGTACACTTTGAAATAGTTAGTGAACTACATATGAACTTGTCAAAAGGTTGTGATAGTTCATTATTTGTTTGGAATCTTTTAACTTTTGGGAAAGTTGAGCATATCTATAAGGAACAATGTATTCAAAGGTTTGAATACATTTGGATAATGGATGGGATGGATGATATCTCCGTCGTAATCAAAATTATTAAGCATTGGATTGGGAAGGGCTATGATGTTGATCGAGTTTTTAGATAAGGATTGGTTTTTTCATTTTAAAGAAGTTGTAACATATAGGTTTAAGTAAATGCCTAGTTAGAATTTAATTACTTACGAGTTACTANTTTTTTTTTTTTTTTTTTTTTTTTTTTTTTTTTTTGACATATAGCCTTTGAAAGTTGAGTTATGTTTGAATTAGTTGTTTTATTTATTTATTTATTTGAGTTTGTAAATTAAGTATAAATTGTATTTTGGTTTTTAAAATTTTTAATACATTGTTTATTTATTTTATATTTTTATTCCAAAACTTTTAAATTTCTAACTTTTTAGCTTTTGTGGGTTGAAAATTTATTTTAGTCACTATTACTATTATTTCTTGATAATTCACTCAAAAAAAAAAAAAAAAATCCTGAATTTTTTTGTCTGACCTATAATATTTGAATTGGAAAGAAACTTATTTTTTGCGATTTTTTAAATTATAAAATAGTTGGTATATATAGAAACTTCAGTAATTTATTTTTTATTAAAGAAAAATTGACATATCGTTTTTCTTTTATCATCCCGTGCTTCTACTTGGAATTGGCGGCGGAAAAGCTCATTTCTTTTTCCCTCAAACTTTAGAAAACAACCTCCCGAAGAATAAAACTTTATCAAAGGCCAATTACAAAATACTTATACGTTTGTTTTAATATTATTTTGAAACCGGCCTCTTTGGGCCCAATATCTTTTCCTCTTTTTTTCTTTTGTTCTAAAATGGTAATTGATACCCTTATCTTGAATTATACTTGAATTGGCGTTCTAGCTAAATTTAATACTATGGGTTTAGATTTTGAATAAGTGAGTATTTAGCTTATCAATTAGTCTAGGATTAAGAAATCCAACTTATTTTGGTATATGGATTTAGTAGCCCAAGGTGATGAAGCCCATCTTTTACTTGCTAGGCATGCTGAACAAAAAGACCATCCTGCCAACATAAGCATAACTCTTTAGTCGTGTCATCCATATTCAACATTAAAGTAGAACTTATCTAAGAGTAATGGCATGATTCATAAAAGATTTAGGATTTCTTTAGTATTTAACGCCCCCTTCCAAACCTTGAACTTTAAATATTCTAAATCTATTCTTTTAGTATACTTTGAATTATACCATTATAATAAATAGTTAATTGTTGTGTTTTTTAAGCTTGGTGAAGAATTTGATTTTTTTTAAACTCATGATTAAAAGTATTTATTTTAATGAGTTGAACTACGTTCATGATGATGTGTATGGTTGATATTCAAGTCTTTGACATATAAGAAACGTTATTAATGCCTTATAACATCCTTCTAACATTTTCTATATACACAATTTAACTCGAAGTTCATAATTAGTTTTTCTTTTTTGAATTGTACGTTTTTCTTTCGCTTTTTGGGATTGGTATTTAGGTGGAGAGTTATAATTAGTTTGGGAGTTTTCTAAAATTAATTTGGATACTAATGAACATCAATCTATTGGATGTTCTTACCACCCGCTTTACTAAAAATCAAATTCCATAAATCGTTTCAAGTGGACATTTCAAACTTAGTGAGCTTCTTTTTGTTTAGTGGGGTTGTGGGGCTATTGTTGGTTGGATCTCTTTGTGTGAGTTGTGTTCCTTTTGGTTTTGTTGAGCTACTCTTTCTGTTTATTTTTGTAGCGTTTTTGGCTCTTGTTTATTTGTTTCTTGATCTCAAGGTGTGAAGTCTCCTTTGTCATTATTACCTTTGTAAAAGAGGAAAAAGAAGAAGAAAATACCCAAAATTTGAATGTTGTGGTTGGATTATATGTAATTTATACCATATTAATTCTATGAAAAGTATTGTGTATTATCCAACCACAAAGGAGAGAGGAATCTATAAACTTTGGACTCCCTTTAGAAAAAATCTTTCTTCCTAAGCAAGCATTAAGGTATCAATGAGGGAGGGCTAGAAAAAATTATAGGAAAACTTTTCATATATATTAAAAAATCTATGTAAAATTTTTAATATATTTTAACCCTCAAAATTTAAGAGAGAGAATTTAGGAAACTACCTATTACGAGTTGATGATTGCAAAGTCCATGAGCTCAAGCCCAGTCGGGCTAAGCACACCCCTAAGTAAGGGGTGCCCTCCTGGTGCTTGCAAGTTTGAGCCGTGGAATGTGATCAATGAAGTTTAATTCTATATTAGGCTTTTAGGCCGAGCTAAAGTGACAAACAACTTATTGCTGTAACCCTCATAAGACCCTAACATTTATGTCAGGGGAGAAAATAATATAAATATGGGAGCAAGACCAAATCTCCATTTAAGACACACAACCTAATCTGTACTTAACTTGACATTTTGTTCTCAATATTGACTTGAGCATAGAAATGTTGAAGAAAATACCACATGGATGCGAGATCTCTCTTTAATAGGGTGACTCAAATTAAGACTCTTTTAGTCGATCTCAAATCTATTCTGGTCGACTAATTAGGTCTTTACATTCACATATGTATAAATATTTTAAAAAATTTTAAATTATGACAAACTAAGTCTAGGATAATTACTCTCACTTTCTTTGACTAGCTTAAAAAATGGATTATTTTTTTCTATCACATTGTATGAATTGAACCTATATTCATCAATATCCACCAATTAATTTAAATTAAAGTAATTGAAAGAATAGTGGATAATTATGAGTTTTTAATTTAGTTTTTCCTAGATTAGATTAGATGGAACATATTAAAATTTTACCAAATAGGGAAGAGAGAAGTATTAGAATGGCAGGCATGAAGAGTTAGCAGCCAGAACAAGTTGAACCAAAAAAAATGGTTAGATTCAGGTGCCAACTCTTACATAATCCAAATATTTAATAATGTTGACATGGCAATAAATGCCAAATAGATAGATGCAGATTTCCAAATAGGCCCTTCCATAGTTCATCAAACCAAACCAGATTCTCCCTCCCATATATTTTTAATTAATTAATTAACTAATCAATCAATCAATCAATTAAAATGTGTGCCCAAAAAGTTGTGTAAAATACAGCTTACAAAAATATGTGTGTATATATATATATATATATATATATATTAGATTCCCTGAGATTAATTATTATCCGTTTATTATTTCTATTTTCTTTACCTTGATAAATAAATAAAAAATTATGCTTGCTTTTATTTAAATTGCTAGTTTAGAAGAATTTTTAATAAGTATTATTTGATGGAAAATATGGTAAGTATGAAGTTGGAGATGGGAATGAAGAATATATTCTTGGATCTCCGTTCCGTTTAGTTGATAGAAAAAGATTTATCTCTATTCCCTCTCCTATATTCCCCCCATTAAGGTATGCCTCGGGAGCTTTCCTCTTTTATTTTCCGCCCCATCAAAGTAGGTCCCGCAAACTCCATTTTTGTAGAAAAACGAATATCCGTATTCCATACGAAATAAATTAATATCTTCCCTGCAACATATACTCAAAATTAAATATTTGTGTATATATATATATATATACATGTATGGGGGTAGAGCCACAGCTTTCTCTAAATAGTTTTATAATTAGAATTAACCTCTTGATCATATAGCTTTATACTCTTTCTTCATATTTCAACCTCCTTCCCTTCTCTCTCTCCTTCTCTCTCCTTTGTTTTGCAGAAGAGAAGAAGAAATAAAATGGAGAATCATATAAGCATGGTGGAGGCCAAACTTCCTCCTGGATTTAGGTTCCATCCAAGAGATGAAGAATTGGTCTGTGATTATCTGATGAAGAAGATTAACTCTGTTTGTGATTCTTCTTCTCTCTTGATTGAAGTTGACCTCAACCAGTGTGAGCCTTGGGATATTCCAAGTAAGTCTTTCTTTTTTCTTTCAATTTTTTTGCCTTCTTCTTATTCTTCTTGGTTGATTTTCTGAAACCCATAATCCATAATTTAAAAGATCATACAAAATATAAATAAGGTTTAGTTTGATTCAAGGGCCTTGAATTTGTCTAGCGTAATTTGATATAAAGGTTATATTTGATTTTTGAAATTAGTATTGATATATATATATATATATATATATATATATATATATATATATATATAAAAGTTGTATAGTTTGAGAGCTAAATGATCGGTTTAAATTATTATTTTGAGTCGTTAAATTATTTACTTTGATGGTTCATAAGCTAGATGTTTTGAAGGCTTTCTATTGGTTTAATTCAATCTAGATTTTATAAGATATTTCAATAGTTTTTACTATATGGAAAGGAAAAAAAAAGTAATAATTTTGTTGCTCTTTTTTTGCCCTTGTCATTTTTTTAAAAATTTCTTTCCAATTTCGACCTTTCTTTTCAAGTGATGTTGTGTTGTTCTTCTTTTACAAATGGGGTAAAATGGTCATTTTACCAGATTAATAAATATAATTTCAAATAAAAATAGTCAGTACATCAACATCTTACTCAAAGTCTTTTCCTAAGATAACCATTCTTTATTTTTCTAGATTCCAAGATAATTTATAAAACAATAAAATCATATATTTTCATCAAAACTTGAAGAAAAAAAAACTTAGTTTGTGTTGTCAATATTGATTAATTTTATTTATCTGAACCTAAAAATTTATATTTACTCGGTTTAATTATATTTTATTTCAGTTATAGATATATAATGTAATAAGCAAATTTGATGAATAATTCAAAACTTTCCAAATTCATAAGTTTATGTAGCTGAAACCGATACTTTTGGATTTTTTTAAAAAAATGAAAATGATAATGAAAAAAAGAAAAGGAAATAGATGTGAGAGTGACTGATAGCTACAAGCCAACAAATTCCAACCCCAAATATCATCAAGTTGTTCTTTGTTCCCACCCAATAGCAGTCCTCAAATATGTAGAATTTTGAACCATATTTCTTCAATTAATTATTATTATTATTATCTCATTTCTTCCACTAATTTAATTTTGTATCCTTACCAAATCCAACAAGGGTTGTCACTTTCACTTTTATGTGCCTTTTTACCTTTTAAAATTACTGTACAGGAATCTTTTTAACTTTTTTTAATTAATTTTTTACCTTAATATTTTTTTTTATTAAATAGTGATTGATATTGACACTTCAACTACACATACAATTAGATATGGTTCGACCTTGATGACTCATCACCCAAATATTCTTTCCATTCCTATATATATATATATATATATATAATTTTATTTTCCTTTTTTTTTCCCTCTTATTTGACTATTGTGTTTTTTTTTATAATTATTTCAATAATCTAAATGGCATTATCGTTTAGGTCAATAGATTTAGGTAGTGGGTAGCAAATTTAGTAGTTTAAAAAAATTGAATTCAATACTATTGAAAATAATTAATTTATAGATCATGATTATAATTATAGATCATGATTGTAATTCATTATTTTCAAAAATTTTGGTATAGAAATATAGAAAAAGAAAATTGTGTGTACAAATATTTATTTAGTTAAATCACGAATTTGATCTATGATTTCAGTATAATTACAATATAACATATCAATTTAACCAAAACTTTTATAGTATTTTTTTTTTTTTTTTTTTTTGAAGAGACCAAATTGTTTAATTGTTCATTTGATATGTGAATTTTGTTTAGGAGAGGCATGTGTGGGGGGAAAAGAGTGGTACTTCTTCAGCCAGCGGGACCGTAAGTACGCGACTGGGCTTCGAACAAACCGCGCCACAGCCTCAGGGTACTGGAAGGCCACTGGCAAAGACAGGCCGGTCTTTCACAAGGCCAATCAACTCGTTGGGATGAGAAAAACTCTTGTTTTCTATAAAGGAAGGGCACCTAAAGGCCGAAAAACCGAGTGGGTTATGCATGAATTTCGCCTTGAGGGTCCACTTTCTCCTCTCAAAGATCCACCTCCTAGGGTATGAACGTTCTCTCTCTATTTCTCTATCTTACCGTGCAAGTGTTTGTGAAAATGTCTGTGTGAATTTGTTGAGCTTTTTGTGTTATTGTTTTGATGAATATGTTACCTTGCATAATCAACTCATTAGTGACGGTTTAGCTAGACTGTTTTGTGTTGATTAAACACTCTATCTATCCTCTTACCTCAAGTGTTTGTTAAAATGCCTACGGGAGATTGTTGAGTTTTTTCTTTGTATCATTTTCTTGTTTATTGATGATAATTCACTTATTATTATGTTTTCATGAATATGTTACCATGCTTAATCAACTCACTAGTGATGGTTTAGCAATAGCAGCTTGAAGTTTCTTTTTGTTGATTTGAAATGTTTATGATACCAATTTTTCTAACCATTTAGCCATGTTTTGATTGTGAAATATTGGTAAAATTAGTGAGGGGTTGAATCTCTTTAATTTAGGTTTGAATTTTGTAACGGCTCAAGCCCACCACTAGCATATATTGTCTTATTTGGATTTTCCTTAAAGATTATTAAAATATGTTTGCTAGGGAGAGATTTCCACACCCTTATGAAAAAATGTTTCGTTTTCTTCCCCAACCAATGTGACAATCCACCCCCCCTCCTTCACCAAAGCCGACTTTGTCTTATTTGGTATGACTTCAAAAATTTTAAATAATGTTAGTAGCTGATGGAACGATATTTTCCTGTTCATGATAGAGGATTAGTTTACGTTTTAATCAGCCATTGCATGATAGCAACCTCACGAAGGCATTGAATCATCAAATAGATAAGTCTGCACTATTTTTCACCGTTGTGGCTTGTTCTTGTGTCCACAGGAGGACTGGGTTCTGTGCAGAATGTTCTGTAAACAGAAAGAAGTGCCCGCCCGACCGAGCACAGGAAGCAGCAGCTCCTACAGCAACGTCGCTGCCTCGTCATCTCTCCCAGCTTTGATGGACTCATACCTCAGTTTTCACCAAAATCGAAGCAGCTATTTAAATGAGTTTGAGCAAGTGCCCTGCTTCTCCATTTTGTCTCAAAACCAAACCATCCCATCTCTCTCAAACCTCATACAAATGGAGCCAAACACAGGCAACAACATCAAGAACTTCACCACAATGTATGGAGGAATGCCAAATTCAAGCACTTATTCTTCAAATATTGACCCTTTTTCCTGTGACTCATCAGTGCTCAAAGTTGTTCTAAATAACATTACTAAGATGGAAACAAATGGCAACCCCTTCATAGGGCAACCCAGCATGGGAGAAGGCAGCTCAGACAGCTACTTGTCTGAGGTTGGTGATGACATTTCAAGCTTATGGAACAGATGACCCAGAAGGAAAATGGAGAAATTAGTTTATTGTAAAGAAAAATGGTGATTATTAAGGATTGTAATTTAAAGGGTTTTTTTTTTTTTTTTTT